GTACGACAAAGATCAGTGCCAAAAAGTGACGAGCAAAAAATCGTGTACAAAGTCTATGGGATTTTGCATGAGCAAATAACATATGTTCATATGCTTTGTGTTATATCTTTGTGCATATGCAGTGAGGTAAATTATATGCAAGAACATACCGTAGTTCCAAGACAAACTTCCCCGGTTTCTGGTATGCGCGCGCGCCGCCGTAGCCATGCGCGTCGGCAAAGTGAAACTTTTTTTTCGATGAAAGATGATGTCTCAAAACCGCCAAACTCACTGGTTTGACTGGAATCCTGCTGCTGCACAATTTTAACGTGTTTTTAGATTGGGTTATGGTCAAAAATAAGCTCTCTGGACATATATTTGCACTAAGTTTAGTCGGGCACCATTTGCAGTCATCAGCCGACATTTGAAGCAAACAAAAATCAGGTAAAAAAAAAAAAAAGCCGCGTCGCCGCACCACTTTTTGGCAAGCTCCATACCAGAAACCGGAGACTTTTTTTGGCTTAAACCAATGCACCCGCCGAAAACAAGCGGTAAACCTATTGTAGCGAACAAATTATAGGCTGGCAAAATTAAATCAAAACCAAATTTCACTTTTCATTTTAAAACATTAACACTTACAATTTGAAGGTGTGCAGCCACCAAGACCGGAAAATACCAGTTACAAAACAATAATGCAAACATTTCGTCTACATGTCAAATTATTTCCATTTTTTTATGTCTCGTTTTTATGCCAGAGTTTTTTTTTGTACGTTTCGTGTCTGTTTCCTTTACTCGACCCCAAATTCACGCAGTTTATCACACTTCGATCTAGATAATTACGCAACAGTTTTTAAACGCGATGTCTTCACGGAATTCGCACCTAATTGGTAGCACAGGCCAATTATCTCTTTGATTCGACGGTACCAGTAGGAAGACGCCCCTCGAAATAAATGGTTATGGTAATTTACTGTCTTTTCCATGGTAATTCGTTTGTAGTAGTTAATATGTTCTCGAAAGTCCAGCTGAAAGCACATTTTTTGAACGTGGTATAAATTTGAAGCGTAAGGTAGAGTATGGTTGAGAACCATTTGTGCGTTTGGGAGAGAGAGGTGTCCAAGAGTTGTTGTGTGAAGTTTTGTTGGGTCGTCGCCACCCGTAACCAGCAGGCGAGTGGAAGCAACCACCGCAGGTACCGGGCCGGCCAACCTAAACTGATGAGGCCGAGAGCCACGCATAGTCAGAAGTACATGTAAAAGTACTTGCTTGACCCTCTCTTCAGCTGTATATGACCAGACGTCACACGGCAGTAGCCTGACCCAAGAGTACACTCCCCGAGAGTAACCGTAAGTGCCTTTGTATTATCAAAAACTGATTTTTGAATCGTGTTTAGTTATACGTGTAATCTGAATCTACTTATTTAGACATTATTTGAGATCAATTTGTATTTTCATGTGTGATTACAAAAGAACAGAGATTTGTAGTGTTTTGGGTTATTTTACATTTCATAAACCAACCCTATTCCGATCCCGTGAGACCAATCTCTAAATGGCAGGGACCCCACTGTAGCCAGGAGGTGACTAATATAACACACTGATCGAGGCAGAGACGACCAGCCAGTCCATGCTAGTGTCACCCCCTGAGCCGAATTCTGTATCTGGGGAAGGTTGCAAGTATCTTACACATCATCTAGAATCTGGAATCTTAAACCAACAAATTGGCTTTGATTTAAATTGTAACTTGTAAAACTTAAAGACCGGTTGCTTTGTTTTCTTTACTTTATTTCTTTAAATGTAACAACTAAGTTGGCTTTATTTGAAGATTTGGATTGATATTTCTGTATTCGTTTCTTTGCTGGATAAGCAGATTTTCCGTTAATATTTTGTTAAGACTCAGTTGAGAAATTGCTGAATTATTTTGTTGGATTGAGCTTTCATATTTTTTTTGTGTTGTTGCAAAGTAGCTAATTTGTATGCCGTGCTAAGTTAACCTGCTAAGTTAACCTGCTAATTTAACCTGCGATTTAATTTGCTTGATTTGAGAAGTTTCTTTTGATTTGCCTAAGTTGAATTCTGTTATATTTTGTCATCTTCAGAGAAACCCTGACTTCTTTGGATCGTTCTTAAGTTGCGTTCTTGAAATGTGGAAGTTCCTCTGATTTAATTTGATTATTTTGTAAATATTCTTGTAAATATTCCTCTTCTTTTCTTCATTTGATTTTTCTTTAAAATAAAATTGTGCTTTTGCTCTTGAAGTTAAAATCAAATCCGTTTCTGTTTGCCTTATTTACTGAGTTCAAGACAGAACCATCCCATGTATGTAAGGTCTTGAAAAAATACTTGACGCTACACATGTACAACACCCAGCTGCTGGCAAGAACCTATGGAAATGGGATTAATTCCCATTTAACAAAAGATCTGAGTTAAATTCCAAGCCACGCTCAAATTTGCATCAACCAAAACATGACGGCTTAGGCCTATGAGTATGAGGAATGCACAAACAAAATTACAAATTCCACAATAGCCAAAAAGAAATGCTCCAGGAGAATCTCTTAAAATTAATAGGCAGGTAGGCTATTTATGTACATGTACCGTGATGTACCCCACACACTGGACTAGGTGACACAGTGATATGAAATTGATATTGATTGAAATTGACACTTTGATATGATATGAAATTTGCATCAAAAAGAGGAAATGTTTAGGAATTGATAACAGAAGGTGCCATGACATTTTTTTGGGGGTTGTAAAACCAGAAATGAAATGTATGCAAGAAACTTATCAGAGACAAACAGTTAAAGACGATGTTTTGAATTGAAAATTGAACAAAACGAAAGGAAATATGTCTTAAAATTAAGTCGACTTACCACACGTGATGGCAAAGACTACTTCAGCGGCTAAGTATCGCGACATGTTGATAGTCTGTTCTGAAAGCTTGGTATACCGTTACTCAAATTTAAAGCGATGGCTGTGGTCAGCATAACAAATGGTGAGCAAACTGTGGTGAACTTTGTGTTTTCTCAGCATTTGTTGAAAAAACACAAAACCTAACTACTACTCCGATGTTACACGGAGGCATCAGAAGCTTTTACTGAGTCTGATTGGATGGCTTGAGGGAGCATTCACAACTAATCGCTTTATCGATGACACGGTCTTCTCAAATGAAAGCACTTTTAGGAATTAAACGGCTGTTTTTTTTTTCGCTTGAAGCGTACAACAAGAATGGTATATTGTGTGGGCTGCTTGAAATAAATGGAGTTTGCAAATACGGACAGGCGGTTGACGTCAGACACCGGAACAGTTCGGGATGAACTCGAAATGAAACAACACAAATTTAGAACAGAAGGTGAAAGCTTTCTAGGATACGACAGTCGCGCAGTGGAAATGATATGTGGGGAGGTTTGGATAATATATGAAGAGTTGGATAATCGCAAAGAAAACTCGGCATGGTTGCTGGCAACAGTAGGAATCGAAAATGAACACAAGTACTTAGTGTCTGAGAAAATTCAATTCAATTGAATTCAATTTATTATACTCGTCACGTAAAAAACATGAAAATTGATTTCCAGTGTGCATTATACATGTACAATAAGACCACAGATATATACGAATGTAAAATAAATAAAATTTGATGTAAAAAACAAAAGGTACTATAAGATATTAACACAATGACAGAGACTATATTTACAGACTATCAAAAATTACAAAGTTGTCATCCAACAAATAAAAACACCAGATTGTTACACAAGGAAACTAGTAAAAGACCACAAATAAAAACACGTGAGTAAGAGCGGACTAATTCATTACGTTTCCCGTCAAACATTAGAGTGTACTTTCTCTATGTTTCAATGAAATCAAATTACTCACAAGGGTGTTTTCATGTCAGTTTTGTCAATGCATGGTTGGAAATTCTCAGAAATATATTCACCAAACTGTAATTATAATTAATAATTAAAATTATAATTAAAGACTTGTAATGCTCTATTATATTGTTATTTTACATTGTCACTTTTTATGCCATTTGCGCATTTCCTACAAGTTATTCAGACAATATAACACAGACAGGAACATTATTTAGATTAAAGCCCACTAAGCCCAATACAAAGCCAAACAATTAAGCTTACTCAATGTAAAGCTAGCACTTCTTATGTAGAAATTAATGTTTGCATGCTATTATTTCAGAAATATCTCAGAACCCACTATCATTGGGAACCAACCTAACTGCGGACCGACTGAGCGATCGACTGAGCGATCGACTGACCGACCGACTGACCGACCGACTTTCACTTTTTGTGACCTAAACTATTTCGTTAAAACTTAAACTAACAATTTGCTGACATGTTAGCCACACTGTAAAACGCGAGAACATGTGACACGTTTATAAAATAAACGCAGTGTTTTAGATTTAAACACTATGTGACAAAATTAAACACATCATGTGTTTTTAAACAAAACAGTTAGCGTTTAATGTCAACAGTGCTATAGGGTGTTTATTATGAGATCGGTTTTAGAAAATGGTTTACCTGTTCAATTTCACTAGTTAGCATTTTGTTTATTCCCAAAGAATAACACTTTGTTTAAAAAAGGCTTATTAACTAATTAGGACACTAATAATAACTGAAGTTATTAATTTAGCTGTTTGTGTTCAACACCTAATAAACACGGTACACGTCACGATGTTTAAATATGACCACGTGATGTTAGGTCTTAACCAATAGGATTAAATCTGATTGCGTGCTGGCGCGGCATAATCGGGCCAGTTAATTACGCGGCACAAAGACAACCGCCATTTTTCTGACAATAATCTGGGCACACTAATAGAATAATGTAATGGCGAGAATTATTATCGTCATTCGTGGTAACAAAATTTGCACGGGTAATGAAACAATATACATGTATGATGTAGTCTCACAGAAGGCACTAACAGTTGGTCATGACCTAGGCTAGAGGTCAAGTTTGGTATGCATATTGCCAAGTCAGCAAGAGTACATGTACTCAGATGCAACGTATTCTGTGCATGCAGTTCGACGGTTGTAGTTTGAACCAGTTCTGGAAGCTCCCAGTCCCACACAGGTGGTAAGTTTTGTCTTTTGTGTTGTTTGATTTAATTAATCCCTATATACAATATGATAGATTTAGAAATACGAGATGAGATGAATTAGTGGGAGCAATTATTGGCCAAAGGATCGTGTGATAAAACATGAATATGAAGGGGAAAAAACAACCCTGATTTTGATTTCCTCATATTATTTTTCTTGGATGACGATGCTGTAATACAGTATAACTGCTGTGCAGCTCACAATATTATGAAGGAAGTTCTGTATTTGAGCCACATTATGGGGTGGTCTATGTTGAGTGTATACTTAATATGAGGCTATAAGCCTATGGGGCGAATTACAATTGCAAACACGCAGTGTCAAAATGTTTGTAATCTTGGAAAATTCAGTGAAGTGGATTTTTTTTTTTTGAAATCGTGATTTAACTATTCAATAAAAGCATGCTAGTGTTATCACCACTGCCTAAGTTATGTAAGCTGAAAGGGACCAGCATGAATGATTTTGAAAAGAAAATTCTAGTATTTGTAAGGTCAGGTACAAATTGTTTAACCATAATTTCCATTTCACATGATGTTATGGGCGTATATTGTTTTGATATTTTCTTTCTGTATATTTTCAGGGTGTGTCTAATCCCTTGCAGATGAAGGAAGCTATTGACTTTAAAATAAAGTAAGTGTCTTTTGGCATTGATCGTCATTTGGCAGTGCAGTGTGTGATTGTAAAGATCAGCTGTGTATACAACTTTTGAAAAACCCGCAGTGCGTGTACATAAAAGATGATCCCCAAATTGTTGGTACAATGCAGTATTTCACAGGGATTCAAAACCATTCGTTTTACAGAACATGTGTTATGTTTTGAATATAGGGTCCTCTGTAGACGCTCGATGTAATTGCATACATGTACGTTCAGCAGAACACCAAGTTTGAACGTGGCGAGGGTACGAAGACGAGGAGAGTGCTAACTATTCATGAGGTAATTTTGTATTGTAAAATATATTATTCAAATCTTCAATTTAATTGAATGATGATGTTTGGCTGAGATTCTATCTTGCATAAGAACCTTTCAACTTCCACTGTAAATTTACTCTGGCGGTAAAACATCATGAAATGAAACAGTATAACATTCTAGGTGAATACAATTTTGAAATACAATTTTAAATAGAAAGTCTCCGTAAATACCTACATGACTGCAAAGTTATTGGTACGAAACTGTGAAAAGCTTGCCTATTTTCTTCAGATTTTATTTTTAATATTTGATCCACGATCAAGCTCAAGCTGTAACTTTACAGTCTTTGTGCACATTATCCCTGATAACAAAGGTTAATATTGACGTGAGTCCCAAAAAGGCCGACAATTGTGCAATTTACTTTTGAACCCAATTTTGTAATCAGTTTTCATATTCTTCCTGGAGTAAACTTTATTAATGACTTGTCATTTTAGGGTCTCCATTATTTTTTTTTTACTGTGAGTTTGGTTTCACTTTCAAAGTTGATCAGTTTATGTATGGCTCACTCAGAAATCTTGTTTATGTCCACAGAATGCTGCTGAACCAGACAGAGTATCTGCATCAAAACTACAGTTTACATTACATGTGGAGACACCATCAAGAAAGTCTCGAACTACAACACGTACAATGATGCGCTTCTTCTCCAGCTTGGGGAACTATGCCTTTGATTTGGATTGTCCAAAGTATTTTCACGTGCTTTGAGTTCTTTTCAAAAAATCATAATTAGAGAAAAGTTTTCCTGGCAGATTCCAGCGAATTGATGCAGTTCACTACAAGGTATTTGTGTATAAATTAATTAGATATATTGTTGAAATCTCAGCTAAAGATCAATACTTATTTTACCACTTCAAACTATAACGAAAACCTTCATAGGTTTTAAAAAACAAGTATAATTCATTTGCAGTTTTACTTCTAACTCTCATTGAATTGGAAAATAATTGATTTTAGCCCTATTTCCAGATATATTCATTTACTTTTAATTCACCCTTTTTGTGTTTGTTTATGTTTTTGTTTCTTTGTTTTGATACTTGTGAAAAATGTAATTGGCCTTAATGTTGGGGTCTTAAAAAAGGATTGTTGGAAACATACTGATAGGCATGTGGCATATTCACATAAATGTCACATTATTTTTGCTGTCGTGATGTACAATATTTTCTAGGGGTGACCATAAAAATGCATTTGTATTTTATTGTTGTCATTTTCATGATTCGATAGAACTGAATAGGCCTTTCACCACAATCCTATAGGTGAAAATGAAGACAGCTTTGTGAAGTGCCCTAAATGCGTTTATTTCAATGTTGTTAATATTGTGACTGAAGTTTTACTTGCAATTTTGAATACTGTTCGAAAACTAAACACACACTGTGAATATAAACACTTGAAAATAATAATAAATGGCGTCACATGTTTAAAATCTGTCACAGGCAATAAACGTGTCACATGTTTAAAATTACAACAGATTGACGTGTTTTCTTTTTGACTGTGTGTTTACTTTTTAAACGTCAGTAGTATTTAAATGTTAAACGCCCTTGATGTATATATTTTAAACACTGTTCCGTTTAAAGATTAAACACCGTCAGTGTGCTGATTTTAAACACCAAATATGTTTTCAAATTAAACATGTTCATTGGATAAACTGCGTCACATGTTTAAAAACTGTCACAGATTAGTGTTTATTTAGGTGTTCTAAACCTAAACACATGGTTTACAGTGCAAATGTTCCCTTTTTTATACACTCCATTAATGAATAACACCTCCGTGTTAACCAAGCTCTTTCTGTTTTCTCAGGTGTACGAATCAAACCTAATCTAATGCGCTTTGATTTCTAACATTCCAATAAACCACAGGGAAATCAATAATAGGTGCATAGATAGACAAGTTTACATATGCCACTTGGGCGGGGTTTGAACCTGCGACCTCTGGAGTATCGTACCGGTGCTCCGCAATTGAACTGGGTTGTCCAGTCTCATGCAACACGCACTTGGCATCATTTAATTAGGCAATCCAAATGAGTGCAAGTGCCATTTTTGTCATCAGATTTTTTCCCGACCGACTGACCCTACTTCAGAGGCAAAACAATTTGAGAGTCGTAAAGACAAAGAGGGACGCCGTATTAAAGTAGGAACCAACTGCTTAACATCTTAGAATTACATGACTATGATAGCTCTTTTAATGAATGCTTTTAATCATCACCAATCACTGAGAATGCAATTATCATGTATTAATTAAACAACAACGTAGCTCAATAAAGTATATATTATACTCAGCAAAAAGGTGAAAGTGAATGTGTGCCATCATATTAGGTGCACAATGTGCAAGTATGTGGTATAAAGGTGCCAGTAACCTTTTAACGTTGTGCATGGACGATCCAAAATAGAAGATCCAGTGGATGTTAGTCTAAAGCAAGAAAAATAATGCTGTGAAGGTATACAGCAATAGTTGAGTGTAAATCGTTTATGTACCACAGAACGTGAAGCATAATTATTTACATTATGTACAACCTGAGATAGAGATTTGAACGACAAAACAGCGTAATTATGTCTGTTATGGTTTCAATAAAGGAACTTGTAATGAAAAAGTATTACATACAACCATTTGATTAAAATTGCAATCCACCAACTCGCAGAATATCTAACAAAATTATCCGTTGTTTCATTCTAAAATGAACAACACGGATACCAAACTCTTTCTGTTTTCTCTAGCTATACGAAGTAAACCAAAACTACTATGTACTCTAATTTCTAACGTTCGAATAAACCACATACATTGAACATGGGTGCATATATAATAAGTAGAACGTTCAACAAACAAACTGAATGAAGCGGGGTTTGAACCTACGACCTCCGGAATACCGTACCGGTGCTCTACCAAATGGGTTTTCCAGCCCTATGTTGGGGGTTCGACGTTATGTCCATACTTTTGTTCAAGGGTGCTAGTGGAATCGCTTTTATTGCTCCCATTTATTTCCAAAACAAGGATATGCAAAGATGTTCCATATTCGATTGTTTTCAAAAACGAAAATAATGGGTCACGAATCATTACAATACTGAACATCACTCCACATGGAATCAATTTATCGGACATTGAATCAACTCAAACCGAAGCGCACGTCTACCGGTGTGGCGAGTAGGGTAAATGCGAACAGCAGACGCCACGATGGCCTGGTTGAAGTAATTAGTGTGAGGGGTAGAAGCAGAGTCGATATCTCCGCCATCAAACAACTGTTAAGAAAGGTTAACAGAAGAAAACGGTGTAAAGGAAAAGAATACATACATTTTCCTCTCAAAAAAGTACACCAAGATACGTCATTAAGTAATTTTCCGTTAAATTTTAACAAGACGGATATAATTGCTTCTCTAGTACACCTGCTGTTATGAATTATGGCTTCCCCATTTACAATGGGAATGTCAATAGTTGTGTCAAGCGTGTGTTACTCATTTTTGTTTAAGAATTTCTTGACGACACCTTACACAATCGATCGGAACTCACAACTGTATCTTGCTCAATAACAGTTACCCATGTAATTATTGAAGCACTTATACGGCAAGCCTACCTTGATATCACCATTGGCTTCCTTGATGTACTCGTAGCCAGATGAAGGTGTAGGCTTGTAGGACACCTTAAATTCTGTCACAAGATATGAGAACCAGGAGAATTCATATCCTTGCGTGATGACGCCAGAAACCCTAGTCGTTTGGAGGAGATCCACCTCAATCCAACATGAGCGCGAGCTATCATGAGCACACAAACCAAAAGAGACTTTAATCAGTGTCATTGATAAACAAGCGCGCAGGTCAAAGGAGGGGAAATAATTTTCCTGTGAATGCAAAGAATTATATTATTAAACGTTGCTATGCAGGTGGTACGTTAACTACGCATGACCGAATCTGAAGAGCTGTAGACCTTTCCTTTGTTTGTAAACATTGGCGTCATTTTATAAGGGCTGCTGCAAGCGCATGAATTGAAGCCGTGATTGGCAACATATATTTTTCCACAAGAAGTCTCCATAACGCCCTCAATACAAAGTAAAAGGGCATTTTTAGGAATTACGTTGAAGCTTTGTTGACAATGATGTATTTCCATCAATTAAATAATACTTTGGTTATCTGCAGTAACTCTTCTTCATTTTTGCGGTGTGGGACTTTCCATAGTTTTGCAACCCGTGGTTGGCAAAATGCAGTTTTCCAACCAAGCGTAAAAAAAGGTCCATAAGAGCACATAGTAAGTGAAGCATACTTTAGTGGTATTTGCGGAACGTTAATAATATAATTAGGATACTGAGCTGTTTGGTAAGGAGCCATTCAAGTGGCAACGACTTGCCACTCTTTCAAGTCTTATTCCAAGGCCTTGTGTGGATTTTGATCCTCTTAGCGCCGTCAAAGCACCACAGTGATATAGAGGGCGCCATTACCAAGATGAATCACAATCCGGTTGGAAACTTTGGCACTTGGATCCAAGAGATTTTGAGCATGCCTCAAACACGCTTAATGGGTTCTTGGAAAATGTCGAGACTCGGTGCCAAAGTTCCAACATGAATGTTAATTATCTTGTTCAATGCGCACATGTCACCGCAATGGTTGAGGGCGTTAACAGGGATCGAAATCAGCTACATTCAGGTCCAGTGACCTACCAGTATATCGTGGCCCAATATGATGGGCCATTCAGTCGTGCCAGGGCAGCAGGATGGATGGAACTTGAACTTGATGCCCGGATGCGCTCATCAGGAATGGTGCCGTCTTCAAGACCCAGTTGGTGACAACTATCTGTTGTCAAGATCAAAATAAAACCATTGAATGACATACAGCATTTTGATTCCGTATAGTGCGGTATTCTTCCATGATAGTTCCATGTCTTTCTCAATAAGGAACGGTTTCAATAAAGACAGCATTTCATTAGCTGATTTTTTTGTGCCAATAGGAAGCGGACATTAAATGTTTACAATTGTGGAATAACCATATTTTAAAGGTCTGGGTTCCAGAAAAGCCATGTCTTTAATTTACGGAGTATACGTGGAAAACAAAAGTTTGCCTACATCTGACGCAGCCTATTTATTTAATTTGGTCGGCGTGACAACCATGGACAGTATTTATTTCGGCACCATATTGACCCGATATAAAAGCCAAAAAAAGTCACACAATTTCATGACGATCACAAAAAGCGTTCCCGAGCTATTACAAGACATGCCATCGGATTGTGCCCTCCACCCTCATCGAATGGGAAAAAAAGTGATGTGGGCTGTATCAGGTCGTTTTTTAAATATTGTAAATCATCCCCCCCCAAAAAAAAAAAAAAAGAAAGAAAGAAAGAAAAAAAAAAGAAAGAAATCAATAAAATAAAATAAAATAAAATAAAATAAAATAAATAAATAAATAAATAAATAAATAAATAAATAAATAAATAAATAAATAAATAAATAAATAAATAAATAAATAAATAAATAAATAAATTCTTAAATAGCAGTTTGAGATGTTACGTAGGTGAAAAAACCCCAGAATGATTGCTTGATGAACATTGAATTTTATCCATTTTGGATTCATTTAGAATTTAACAAAAATAAGTTTATATAAGAACAAATACGATCTGAACTGAAACAGTTTACTTAAGACATGTTTAGAACTACAAATTTGAATGATAAATAAAAAATGAAATCGGATATACATCAGCCCACATAGTTTTTATTTTTTCAATCTCCCCTTCAAGCCAGCTGTGCTAAAAAGTGGCTGGTTTTGACCGAGACAGAATAAGTATAAAAATTAATGTGCTAAGGAAATTTGTGCTTACTGTAGAAGATAGTTATTTCGACTTACCCTTCTCAGTATCGTTACGGCATTGTCTTGGGCATCGTTTGCGCACTAACTCCTCAAATCGTGCCATCCACTGGTGCATGTCTTCAGCATCCAGCAGCTCCGGTGGTTGACCGATGTTGCAAACCCTCGTCTTGCCCTCCACACAGTCCATGAGTACTAGAACGACCAAATTAGTGGTCCAGAAAGATTTATGCAAACTGCCAACCCTGACATTCAAGTTAACCAAATGTTACTCAAAATCCTTATAATGGTTGCAATGAAAAGAAATCAACCAATATTTTTTCTTCCGAATTTAATGTTTAACCCTAAAAGGGCCGGACTATTTTGATCAGCTCTCAGCCGGGGGGGGGGGGGGGGGGGGAGAGAAGGGGAGGGAGCGGATTCCGCTCCTCCTAAGATCTCGGCCATCGAGTGACGACAAATTTTGAAGCTCGGTAAATGCATAAAACAACTTGTCATGAACATATGAACATATAGTCATGAAGTCAAGAAACTTCATGACTATAGGTCAAAGGGTTTGGAATTATGGCTAATTAATTATTCATATGCATAAA